ACAAAAATCAACTGCAAAGTTCAACTAAATTTGACATATTTTTGTTTCTCTTGATTTTCTCTTTTTTTTTTAAATTGTTGTTTAATATTTTTCCCTAACATATAAATTTGGGTGTACTTAATTTTGGACCGTTATTAAAGTTTTTACTTAGATTAACTCCTGATTTGGCTTTTAGTATTGACAAATTTAATGTATATATATATATATGAAGCATCAAATAGAAAATATTAATTGAAAAATTTGATTTATGAGGGGTGAACTCCTATATGCTGAGCACTGTGTGTGTGTGTGTGTGTATATATATATATACACACAGTTGAAGTCAGAATTAATCGCCCCCTTTGAATTTTATTTTCTTTTTTAAATATTTCCCAAATGATGTTGAACAGAGCAAAGAAATTTTCAGTATGTCTGATAATATTTTTTCTTCTGGAAAGTCTTATTTGTTTTATTTCGGCTAGAATAAAAGCAGTTTTAATTTTGTAAACAACATTTTAAGGTCAATATTATTTGCCCCTTTAAGCTATATATTTTTCGATAGTCCAAACCATTATTATACAATAAATTGCCTAATTACCCTAATAATTACCCTAATAATTTTGACTTCAACTATATATATATATATATATATATATATATATATATATATATATATATATATATATATATATATATATATATATATATACTTATTTATTCATTTATTATTTTTTTTTGTATTTTTATTTTGATACAGATGCTTTCTGCTTCACTCATTGCCAATTTCTGCTGGAATTTTCTATACAGCATTATAGGGTAATGTAGTTTTTTTTGTTTTGTTTTTTTTTTCACAAATTTGAATATTAAACACTTGCTATAGAAAATTGAGTTAATGTGAACAGATGGCTTCAACAAATGACATAAAAACTGATTATTGTTAAAAACTGGGTCCATATGGAGAGAATTAATGGAGTTTGTACCTCTGTTGGGCTCTATAATGATTTAAAGGATTAAGTGACAAGCCAGAGCTGGGTGTAGGAACAGATTATAGTTAATTCATTATAATTAATTAATACTTGTAATTAATTGAATGTAACCTGTGTTACGTAATCAGATTACAAAAATCAAGCACTTGTAGTTAGAGGAAACTCATTGTTAAAGTACTTGTAATCCATAATACTGTTATCTGTATTAAATGAATACACATTATTGTCTTGTGATTTTGACTTTACGTTAAAGAGATGACCAAGAGGCCACACTCTGTAGAACGCTCCATTGCAACAGCAGCACCCAGCAACAGCCCTGTGATTCCGCCATTTTGGAGTGAAAGCGATCGGCTGTCCATTAGATCTTGTTGCTGTCGCGATGGCGAGCAGCTGCTTTGTTTTTTATTTATTTATTTTAAAAGCGCATTAAAGCTGAGATACAACTTGAAAGACGACAATACAACACTCACCATCAAATACCAGTGATTATCAGCACTTTAAATAGTTCATTTTACAGACTAGTTTAATATATTTTAACCATAGATGTTTTCTTGAAACTGTCACTTATAGGTGAAATTACTTTGAGTAAAGCTAAAAATACAATAGAAATCTAAGTTATTTTGTTAACATTACTTTCATGTTATAAGTGGATAAAGATATTTTAGATACCATATATAGTAAACTAAGGGCTCTATTTTGACGGTCCATGCGCAAAGCACAAAGCGCAGGACACAAACGCTTTCAGGATGTGTCTGAATCCACTTTTGCTAACTTAAGGACGGAAAAATCCGCTTTGTGTCGTGGCACATGATCTAAAAGGGTTGAGTTTATTTTCTTAATGAGTTATAGGTGTGTTCTGAGAATAAGCCAATCAGAGTCTCATTTCCCATTCCCTTTAAGAGTCCGCTGCATCACGTCATAAGCGCATTTGCTATTTACAGGACGTAAAGTAAGTGGAAGTGGAAAAACTGAGCATTTCACTAGCAAGAAAACAGTTAAACAGAGCATCTGCAGCATGAGAATGAGAGATAATGGAACTACTTTCACTTTTGCTCTCGTGGATAGGGAAACCTTGTATGCACAGACATCCATTAGCCTATACATAATTAATTTTGTTTGTTAAGTGGAAAGATTTGTTTAAAACTATTTCTGAATTCAGCTTTAATTTCCAGCAAACGAATAAATGAACAATAATAATGAAGTGTGCTCAAAAACCTGAGTAATATCCTAAAACACATGCTGTGCCCCATATGGTCTAAAACCTGACAGGTGGGCAAATCTAAGCTTGTTTTTAATAAAACCAATATAAATATGGATATAATAAATAATACTGCTAATAATAATAACATTATACAAAAGCAAATTGTTATGAATGAACTGAAAAAGCCTCCCGAGATGTAGAAGGCATGAAGGCAGTGGTTTTTATATTTATGTAGGCTAGAAAATAATGTGTTTTGTAATATTTTAATCCTTTATATTTACATCCTATATATATATCCTTATTATATCCTATATCCTTAATATTTTAATTCTTTTTCATATGTAAAGATATTTGCGTATTGCTCTACATCTTGTGTGTATTAGGCAGTGTGTAAGCCAGGCGCACAAGAGTGCGCTCTGCGCTTGACAATAGACCGGGTTGGTTTTGGTCTATTGAAAAATCTATTATAGTTTCTCAAAATAGCAACGCGCCAGCAGTGCGCCTCTGAATGCCTTCCTTTTTTAGGCCAGAACTCCTATCGGCGCACATATGAGCGCAAATGCATTTGCTGTTTAAACAGCGTGGTGCAAAACATCAAAACTACTCTTGCGCCAAGCTAAAACTAGCAAACAACAATTGCGTCGCGCTTTGCGCCACATTGCGCCGGGTGTATGATAGGACCCTTAGTCTTGTCAACATTTTGGAAATGGTCTCTTTTCATTGAGATATTGTTTATAATGTTACTTTTCAAAGAGGGTGTCCACAGTTATGCTGAGACCATATATATATATATATATATATATATATATATATATATATATATATATATATAT